TTCAGCTGATAAAAATTGATGGTCGCTATTACAATCTTTTCCTGGATAGGTCTTAACATCCTTAACAGCGCTCCTCCAACGGGTTTTTACCAGTATAAAATCTATCTGATTTCTGTATCTATTTCCTGGTGATATCCAAGTGTATAGTCGTCTTGGGTGATGTTGAAAGCCTGTATTAGTAACAAACAGGTTGTTGTCTATACAAAAGTGTAGCAAGCGTTCTCCTCTGTCATTTCTTTGGCCAAGTCCATATAATCCGACGGTCTCTCGCAAGTAATGATCTTCTGTAGTTACACCAATTTTAGCGTTGAAATCGCCTACGACTGCTGTGATTTCTCTATTTGGAAGCTTCCTAAGCGTCTGCTCCAACGTACTATAAAATGTTTCGATTTCTTCATCGTGAGCTTCGCTTGTTGGGGCATATGTTTGTACCACATTAAGATTAACTGGACTGGCATTCATTCTGACAACAATTATCCGATCGCTGACGGTTATGTATTCTTTTACGGAGGTTTTAAAGGCATTATTTACTATCACTGCGACGCCATTCCGAGATTCGTTATCATTGCCGGAGAAATAAATATCATTGCCATTTTTTGACGTAAAATGTCCTTTATTTTTCCAGTGGGTTTCAGATAGACCTACAATGGCATAATTGTGGATCTCGTTTTCCACTACATCCAATTTTCCGGGTTCCAGCAATCCTCGAACATTCCACGTACCGATTTTAAGGGTGCTCCATATTTTTATGTTTATTCCAGACTCAGAGTTTCCATGGCGTGCCTGGTTTCTCACAACATCATGGCCGGTAGCCCATTTCACACCATCAGCCCCGGACGCTGATTGGCGCCAATTGCTAGTTGGATCGCTCGGCATACTGATATGTTTAGAGGTCATCTTCATGATAGTTCTTGGGGCAAAGTAACGCAGTGGGGCCCCACTTCCTTCTGCGTGGTAGAAAATAGTCTCTTTTTATACATTTTGCCCTAAATAATAAGATGGAGGACTCCATAACATTCTAGGTACCGCATGACATGGTCAGAATAATCAAATTTTCGTATTTTTATGTCTTCACTACTTCGGATTAGTTTTTTTTAAGTTGCAATACCTCTTCATTTATCACTTTATTTTCGAAAGCTTGTTTATTTTAACGATTTAGTGATCGATAGGAAAAATATTTGGAAAGCGAGATCCAGGAAGAAGAAGAATATCTTGGTTAAAGAACCTCAGAATCTGGTTCAATACAACATCTGTGCAGCTTTTCCGCACTGCTACAGATAAGATAAAGATCGCAATGATGATCGCCAACATTCGTAACGGATACGCACATCAAGAAGAAGAAGAAGTGATCTTTCAGCTTTCAACAATATACAACAATGTCGAGAAGTTTTAACATTTGACAAGTCTTATCTTCATGTTGCTGTTAATATTCCGTTCATATTATACCTTTTTCATTCGGAAGAACACTGCTCTGGTCTTTTCAATGTGGATTTTTATCTCTTCGCGCATACCTCAAAATAAACCGAGATAAGGGATGTTCTTGGTTTTTTTTCATTTCAGTGCTATATGCTGTAATTATTTAGTTGTCTACTAGTTTTTTGTTGACTACTATAGTTTTCAAAGTATTAAATTTTAATTAGTATTTTTTACAATCTCCAGTAACACAGTCAATTAATAACTGTAATTCTTCCGCAGAACTTGCAATCTAAATTGTATCATCCATATATTGCAGAACACTGATCTTAATTCCGTTGAGTGTGATACCGACATCAACCTTGACAAGTGCCTGTTTATCAATCTGTACTCGAAATTCAGATTAAAAAGCAGTGATGTCAAGATGCGCATCAGTTTTCTATGTCTAAATTTATCGAATGCTTTCTCAAAGTCTATAACGCACATGTACACAGGTTGATTGTCATCTCTGTACCTCTGAACCAGTACTTACAAGCTGAATAGTACCTCTCTCGCTCCAAGAATATTACGGAAACCAAATTGCATATCACCCAATTACAACAAGTGGTACATCAAATCAGAGTGAAGATAATAATATTGGGGGATTTTAACGCTTGAATAGGCAATCAAGTAATACCCGGACTTAAGCAAAACCATAACGAGAATGGTAAAAACGAAAATGGAAAACTGTTGATCAACTTCTATACTTATAACGAACTAACGAATAAACAACACATTTTTTTGACCACAATGACCAACACAAATATACATTTAATACCACCCGTGCACGAAGATCTATGATAGATTATCTTATAACCAACACAAATATACATAATGTATTATGTAAACTAAAAATCATCCTGAAATACTTCATACCAAAGAGAGCGGCGACAACACAAACAAAAATCAAAGTCAATACAGAATCCACGGAATACTTATACAGAAAAAGTATATCAGAATAGATATATATCAGCGAATAAAATATTAGAAAACGATAACATTGAGGAAAGCTGGCACTTGGAGAGCGGAAAGTAACGAACACTAACATATCAAAAAAGAAAACACCATGATTTAGAGAGGAACTGAAGACAAAATATGAAGAAACGAAGAAAGCCTTTTTACCATATAGAACACAGCAAACACAACAGGCATATAACCACTAAAAGCGAATCAGAAATGAAACGAATACTTTAGTTAGACAAATAAAATGGGAACACTAGCAGAACTTCTCAAAACAGATGGAACACGACTTCTACGAAACACAAAAAGAAGTATGAAGAATGATCCGACGACAAAAACAGTGATAAACAAACTAATAAAAATGAAACACATTCAAAAGAAAACATGGTTGGACTACTTTCGATCCCTATTTTCTAAATGACGATAATGAACCAACAACACCAGAGGTGACGACAGACGAAGAAATAAATATTGAGGAGAAAGAGGTAAAAGACGTATTAAAGAAATTAAAAAATAGAAAATCACCAGGAGAGGACACAATACCGAACGAACTCCTAAAGTACGGAGGACTAGATCTGACCAAACAACTAATAAAATTAATCCAAAAAATAATGGAACAAAATAGAATTCCTCAAGAATGGAGATCAAGCATCCTAATAGCGCTACATAGTAAAAATTACAAAGGAATTAATTTATTAAACACAACAATAAAGTTAACAACCAAAGTGATAACAAATAAACTGAATTAAATTATAATATTAACAGAAGAACAACAAGGTCTGAGGTAGGAAAGATCATGCACTGACGCTATATTTATAATAAGGCAAGTGCAAGAGAAACTATTACAATACGACAAACCAGCATATCCATGTTTCGTAGACCTTAAGAAGGCATTCGAACGGGTTAAGTTAAAGGATCCACGTTATCCACTTATTGTACGCTGGAGAGATACCTCTAGGAATAATAAAAATGATCGAAAATATCCATCAAAACGTCACGATAAAAGTAAAAGTAGAAGAAGAACTAACCGATCTCATTAAAGCTGGCAATGGGATAAGACAGGGAGATTGTCTGAGTCCTCTATTGTTCAACCTGATTATGGATGAAATAATAAAAAGGTAAGAACTAAAAAAGGATACCAGATGGGAAAAAACTCAAAATAATCTGCTGTGCAGACGACGCAATACTACTCTCTCAAAGTGAGGATGATTTACTACGTACGAAAACGTCTGATGTTAATTTCCCCAAAAAAGACAAAATGCATAGTTATAACAGCTAGTATACTAATATGTTAGTTAAAGTTGGAAGGTCAGATAATATAACAAATGATGGATTTTAAATATCTAGGCATCACATTATCTAACTAAAGAAAGCTCGAAACTTAAGTAAAACATCAAGTGAATAGGTCAAACAGAGATGCAGGTTGCCCGAATGAAACAATATGGAGAAATAAAAATATCGGGAAAGAAATGAAAGGCAGAATTTACAAAACAGTCATCAGACCAATTATGACATACGCGGCAGAAACACGATCTGACACAGAGAGAAAAAGAATGTTAGAAGTAGCAGAGATGAAACCACTTAGAAAAATTGATGCTAAGACTCTATGGGACAGAGCACGAAGTACAGATATATGACATAGGTGCAAGGTGGAGAACATAAAGAAGGGTACAAAATAAAAGAGTAGAATGAACCGATCATATATGCTGAATGACAAAAAATAGAGTAGTAAATACGCAAGAGACGGTTCCCCAATAGGAAGGCGATTAGTGGGAATACCACGAAAACGATGGAACGACAACTTACTGGAGGCACATTGAAAAATAGACAGTCATGTCGACCTAAAAAAAAAGAAGAAGAAATTGCATGTTACTAATTTCTCCTTTAATTCTAGTATACATTTTTGAGTGAATTATCCAAAGAAAGATTTTTAAAACGTGACTAATAAGATTGATTATCCTATAGTCAGAGCACTTTTGAGCATTTTCTTTTTTTTTTAAAGATACCTATCACAACTGACTTATGGAAGTGGTTTTTTTCCTTCATTTCCAACTATGTTAAGTATTTCTGTTGTTATTTCATCTTGTTCTTAATTTTTTATTTCCTATACCAGCTGCCTTTGTTATCTTCTTGTGTGAGTTGAATACATCGCTTTTGTATATCTTCAATTTACAGGCATTACTTTTCGCATTTTACTTCTTATTTCTTTCTCTATATCGCTGTATTTTTAAGTATCTCGGTTTTTAAATTTTCATCATTCATCTACTTTTGTTTTTTTTTATATTTGATTCTGGGTAAGTAGAAAGAAGTTTTGTTTATTACAGTTTTAAAATGAGGCCACTGATCTTCAATATTGTGAAACTCTAGTATTCTTTAAATTTATTCTTCAAACTAGTTGCGAGTGATTGATGGAGGTAACTCAGTATAACGCAGACATATAAGTAATAAGCTATATGCATATTTAGCTCTCTATTTTAATTTGAACGTATATTATGCTTCGCTACAAATCATTATTTTTTATAGTAACTATATGCGAGCCAATTTTGGGACACACTGTATAAGCTAACAAGAAATATTAATTGTTTCAGGTTCTTCTTAAATGGTTATTTGCCGGCAGGAATCGAATTCGCCATAGAAATGACGTTTCCATCACCAGAGAGTACAGTAACCGGGATACTCCTGACGACATCACAAATCTTGGCTTTTATTCTCACCATTATTTTGGGCATCATCTTGGAACAATGTGGTGCCTTAATTTGTATTATAACGATGATTGCTGTAATGGGTACTGGTTGTATTCTAACTCTATTTACCCCCAATCAACTGAAGAGACAACAAGCGTTCATGAAGGATAGAAACAATATAGTTTCTTTTATTCCTCTTAAACAATAACACTGTTATTAAGTATTGTTGTTTTTTCTTCTAATAGGCAAGTGTCATCCACCCCTAAAATTACTCGACTGTGACTACGGTTTTCTCATGTCTGAATGTAATTTTGAAAATTCTTTCAGTGCCGTTAAAAAGTTTTTCTTCAAACTTTTGGTAAAATTGTCAAAAAATAGTTAAAACGAAAAAAAATCCTGATTCTTTCTGATATTGAAGAAGAACTAATTTTTAGTTAGGCGGGGTATGATTCACTATTTTAATTTCTTCGTTTTTATGTAGAATTGGTTTCTACGTATTTGGGAGTCTTCGGACACCATCTCTGGTATTTAAATTTTTTGGGTCTTTTTTAATTTCCCTGATTAAATGTTGGGTCTTATTTTCAATGTTAGCTAACACGAAATATTAGCACACAACGATGCCTATAGTCTTTGTGAGTACGTAGATGAAATTACCTTTTTTGATGATATTTTTTAAGAGGTGCATTAGTAAATTATATTTTTCGTAATCATCTACTGAAATATAATTCTTTTTGCTGTAAATATATTAATACATAGTTATAGTCTTCGAGGACACACAATGAAACTTAATTTCGGCGACATTTTTCAGAGTTATGATTTTCGTTGAAGTGTTCTTTTCTTTCAAGTCATCAGCGATTGATCTGAATATTTACTGTATATCAAATTTATTTATTGTTTTTATAATATTTAAGTGAAAATTTAAAGACACATACTCTAAAGAATATACTGTCAAAATTTGAAAAATAAATACAAACAATTGCCTAGATACAACGTATTTAACCCTTTCGTCTACGAATTGATTTCTTTAAACTAAAAATCTGAAATTTGCAACATAGCGAGAATGATTTTTTGCGAAGTTTTGATATTAGTTTTAGATTTTTAAAATGCACAGTTTGGGCACCACAAGTCCACCACATGTCATCATTTTAGAACATCGTGAACCAACGTAGTAAAAATATTAGATAATTTTTTTAAATACTGATAAAAACAAAACAACTAAGGTGTCTTATTCAATGAGTAATCTATGGTATCTTACAAAACAATTTTTGTACTTATACAGAGATGAACATTGTATCTGTCGCATGTAATTCGTGATTTGCCCTTACAACCAGGCAATTTACATCTGGATGCATTAGGTGTATTATCGTGTATTGGCCAATGGCACATTTAATATTAGATAACACTTCTTCTTCTTCTTCTTCTTCTTCGATCAACCGCAAGAACTCCTTATCGGTTAAAGACCTTCTTGAACTCATTTTTCTAGTCATATTCTAAAATATTTAAATTTTTTACACTATGCAATAAAATAAAGAGGTTATATTTACCTAAAAATTAATTTTTTCGTTGACTTACAACCAACGTCTACAAACAAGTACACGTGTTTAGAAAATCCGTGGTAGCTAATTTTAAGCAAAACCGCCAATAACAATAGTTTTTAACAAATTAGACTTGCTATACTATATTTATCAATACCATGCGACACATGCAATACCAATTGTTTACATTTATAACGAAAGAAACTCAAATGAGTAACTATAGAAGCCTATATTTCAACAAATTAAATATTTTGTTCGAAAGCCGTTAGATGGCAGCACAAGTACCTATTGTGTGGAATAGAATGTCCATCATTAGGGACAATGTGTTGCAACAAGGGTAAAAATAAATGGAGCTACATAAAAAAATATATCGAATAGGTTGTCCTCAATTCAGGACACGGTGAACAAAAGGGTTAACATAAAAAAAACTATCAAAAACTTTTTTCCTATTTCTGGTTCAGCGACTTCAGAAATACAAAAGAAACCTATTGTATTTTTTAGACAAACTTTATAACGATGTGCTAATATTTCATATTATTAAGCGATTCTTGAGGTGTGTCACTTGCCTATTCTTTAGTTTTTTACTGATATGTGTGAATCTTTGTTGCTCTTATAATTTGCTCTTTTTCGCAAATTATCAGCAACTCTTGTATCGTCTATAATTTTTCTGTGGCCTTTGTGTATTTATGCCATTGGTTTTTGATGTGCAATGTATAATCATTCCTTAAGACATTTTTTTCTTATTATTTTTTCTAGTTTTTGTATATATTTATTTTTCTTCTGTACTGTCATCAATTTCGTTTTCTGTCTCTTTCGTTTATACTTATTATTGTTATGATTTACCCATGAGTATAAGAATTTGTCATAAATACATAATATGAATTTTGCTTATATAAATACATAATTTTCTTGAAGTTTTTTTAAATGCTTCGTTATTCTAACAATAGTATGTTTAATTAAGTGTCTTTGGCTTAAATTGATTGTTTGTTATTCTTAGTCCATTTTTTATCTCATAGTTGGTCGACATCTCCGTTTTTTAATACGATCTCTATTTCTCTCTTCAGTTGATTTTCAGAAAAGCAATTCAGTCATTACCTAATCAAAAAAGTAATAACTACGAATTTAATTTCTGTTTGGTTATAATAAAACGATGTATCTTGCAGATTATAACCTTATTTACATTATCATTAGTATGTTAATAATGTAATCATCTTCAGTATTTTTTGGCTGCTTTATAGAGCATTTTGTGATATGTTTTTGTACCATTATCCTATGGAATTATGGTGATAACAATAAAATTATTGTAAATTATATAAATGTTATATCATTAATAAAAAATATTAATTGCATAACGCAATATAGCAGTTTTTTTTAAACAGTTATTTATACTTCAACGCATTTAAGTAACATTTACCCATTTAAAACTAGTTTGATACCGAGCTACAGTGAGGGCTCTCAAGAAAATTTCCGGTTAAAATATTTTTTTTTTTATTAGAAAAAGATGTCGCATCCACCAAAAGGTTATTAGCGACGGAACAAAATATAAAAAAACAAAGTTAAACACCTACAGATTGTACAAAATGTTTATGGATCTAAGATTATTCACTATATTGTTACAGGAACAGTTTTGACCTAAAGCCTGTAGTAGAGCGTTTGGGATCTTGTAGCGCTGTCTTTCTTGGTCATATTTACTACAAATTGTTAAAAAATGTTCGACTGTTAATCGGACGTTACACTGATCATATATAGGTGGATTTTTCTTTGTGAAAAGGTAGGAGTACGTTAATCTGGTATGTCCTAGGCGTAAACGCGCAACCGCAATTTGTTCTCGTCTATTGAGCGACGATGGAAACCACTGAGACACATTATTTTTGATTTTATTTAGATTGGAGTTGGTTTGAGACCACTGATTTTGCCACAAACACCACACTTTATTTTTAAAATAAGCCTCTAAGTCACTAAAAACACACTTGTCTATCGGCTTTGACAAATCACTTAAAATTGCCTCTCGTGCAGTCCTGTCAGGTTCTTCATTTCTTGTTATTCCGACGTTTGAGGGAACTCATAAAAATTGGACGCTTCTTCCATGTTTATAAGAAGTAATAATATCTGGAGAATATTTAGATAGAAGAAGCTGTAGCATAGGAAGACGATGAAAAAATCTATCAATGTTCCATTGAAGTATCGAGTTGAACGTTGTTAACAGATTCCGAGTTAGATGATACTGAACAATTGTCTACACAAGAGTCACTATCTAAGTCAGAAATCTCTTTCTCTAAATGGTTGTATAGTTTCTTTTGAAGTTTTATAAACTTGCTTTTTGTAGATCTATCATTTGCATATTGATAGCTGCTTTGTAAAAGATGGAGTAAACCATCGATATCAGTTGTAAATTCTTTGACGACGCTAATAGTGTCGAACGAGCCTTGGACATTATCAATCAGTAAGGACAATTGGTGGTAATTTAAAACGAATGGTGGGGTATGATTATCAATGAAATTTTCAAGAGTTTCATCAGATTTTCTGATGAAATTACTGAGTGTGAAGGAGGCGTGACGATCTCACCAATACTGCGTTTTATGGAAGAACTTGTGTTTTCGGAATTGTTATTAGAGTTTTCACTTAGATGCTGTGACTTTATTACATTTGGAAGTACTGGAGCAAACTCCTTGGTAGTGACAGAACTCGAGCTTGAAGTTTTATTTGTAAGATTGGTTGAAATGGTTGTTTCAGAAAATTGTCTGTCTTGGTGTATCAGTTTTATTAGAATTTTCTGCAGTTGTATCTAATGAAAAAGGAGCTGATAGATTGGAGAATATTGCTCCCGAAGTTTGTGAAAACGGTATTGCTACTGAATGAGGTTAATTCAAAGTGTTGTTATGAGTAGGAGCGTTAGTAATTTCTTTGTCATGGAGATTTGTAGGTGTAGGTGATATGCTTGGATTTGATAATGGATAACTTGATGACTGCTGGGTTTTTGTACCTTGTGTAGTATACTTGTTGAAGCTGTTTGATTTGGTACTTCATTGTTTGACTCAATATGAGTTGATTCCGTCACTGAACTGTTATTGCATTGGGATGATATGTGTCCTGTACTTTTGCAAATAAAGCAGGTAAGTGTACCTTGTGACAAAAATATGCGGTAAGGTGTTTGATCGAAATTTATTAGAATAGAATCTGGAATTGGTGATGTTATAGGGCTTATATAAACTTGCCTCCGAAAGCTCAATATGTGACTATATTCGGGGAGAGTCGAGCTAATTTTCAGAAATGATATTGGGAAAATAAGCTTTAAACCGATATTCTGTAATTCTTCAACTAATACTTGATGAGAAATTGACGGGTAGACTTCAGACAAGACTAGTCTTTCTGGAGAGACAAGTCTTCGTGTTGTTACAACTTCGCCGAGTACTTCTATAGAGCCATGTTGTGTCATGAAGTTATCTACAACGGTTTTGTTTGCCAAATACATGCAGATTCTATTATGAGATAATCTAGATGAAAAAAAAAATATTTTTGGGTTGATGATTGTGCCCAAATGAATTAGATAATCCTGCAGTTTAGCATTATTGATGCAACTAAATACAATTGCTTGGGTCTTACTCGGAAAAGAGTGTGAAGCGGCTGATGCATAACTGTTTGTGATATTCGAACGTTGATTTACTGGAGTGGTTAGATCGGAAGGTGTGTTTACATTCTGCGTAGTCATTTTAAGCTATTTCGGCGAAGGCCTTACTCCGACTCTGGTAAGTGAAAAACTAACCGCATGCTACTATAAGGTACTTATAACAGCTAACCTCACAAAATGATTGTACGGTAGTATATATTTATTATTGACGTTTTCTTTTCACACTAATAAAATAATAATTACGTATAGATAACTTACGTAGTAGTATCTAGTAGATAAACACTTTAATTTTAAAAAACTATTTAATAAAACCACTTGTTTTTATTAAAAATGAGGAGTACGATATCAGTACAACTTAACCACACCTTGCCAGGGGTTAAAATATTGTTACGGTCTTATGTAGGTTCAGAGATTAAGTGAAACACAACGTGGTGTAACTAACTTTATTTAACTTAAAAACTGAATTATAAATATCACAATTATTAAATACATTAATAATTATCACTTACAAGAATTCAAATTCATGCGTAGAATCTCTAATACTAAGACCGTCCGCACATGGGTCGATCGAAGCCACGCGTCTAAGTTCATGCGTCGTGCTCGTTTTATACGAACCCAGGAACAACGCATTTTTTATATATACATATTGGCATATTCTTTCATTGTATAATTATATAATTATGGGTATTTTTACACTTCCCCAACGAATTTTATATTAGACACCTAGAAACAGAAATTCAATGTTTTTAGAATTTTATTTTACAAATAATATATTTCTACAAAGCTAGTAGTACTACAAACAATGAACATAATATTCGTCGACCTAAAAAAAATATTTTAGGGCAAAAAACCATAAAAAACGAAGGAAGCTATTTGCTTTCTTCGTTTTATCCTCATGACTGAAAACGTGCGTCTCACTCGAACTTTCTCGTGCGCTACCGATCGCATGTGACGAGAGTCGTACAAGACGATGAGATTTGCAATTCTAGACGACCACTAAACGCCCCGAGTGTGGAGCTTAATACATCAACGAGGGAACTTGGTCGGTGGGTAGAGACCTATACGATTGAAATCGAGTCGTCCAGTTCGAGCGTCGACCCATGTGCGGACGGCCTAAGGGTTAAACGCCGTCTACACTCTCGATCAAAGTTCTTCGGACGAAGTGTCGAAATTAAGTTAATCGAGGCGTGGCGACTCTCTACATACTCGTGAAGTCGAGTAATGTAGTGTGACACTTCGTATTCGAACTTCGCCAGTAGTGTAGTGACTGCTTTATAATTTACCTCGGAGGTAAAAGACACTATGTCTTCGAATCCCAATTTTTATCAAAATTGGGATTATTGCACTTTTGAATATAACTTTTCTGGCTCTACACAGAGATAAACCATACTATGTCCAGAGACAATTTTACGTCAAATTACCGACTTTTTAATAAACAGCAAGTCCACTTCCAGGCAGAGGTAATCAACACCATGTGGACTTTGTTGTTTACCTCTACTAAACCTGTGCACTGTTATTTACCACCTGGATATATGTATTCTGGTACCTGGTGGAATTGTCATGAATTAAAATAATTGTAACCATTTTATTTAGTTCGCAATAGTGTTAGATTGTTAAAAGTTGTACAATACATCCGTTGTTTCCTAATTACAAACTGGATCCGAACTCTCGTGAGAAATGAATACTACAATTACTGTGATAATATTCCTAATGAAATAACCCCTACTGGTAAGCTATTGTTTAATAACACTGATTTAGAATTTTGCTAACCTCAAGTATTTTAGTATTGTATACTCTTTTGACAGATGGATCTTGACGAAGATGATAATTTGTTTGAAGATGATAATGCGGATATTGACGAAACCTATGAGCCTCTAAGTGGTGTACGCACAGAATCAGACGACAATTATGTGAAACGTATAGGTAAACCAGCGAAAACAAAGGTAAAAAAGAAAGGTGTTACTACTCCTATGAATATTGGGGCAATATAAAAGTGTTCTTAAGGACGATTTATCCCTAAGCAGTGATGCAGGCAATTCTAATTATTATAATGAAGTTATCATGAAATGTTCTGAAAGACTGCCAGAATACGAAAGAGAAAAAATCTTTAACTTATACTGGACTGAGACAAACGTTTCAGATGTTAAAAAGCAATTTATCTTCTCATGTATCGACATCCAACCTACTCTTCGATCAAGAAAAAGAGACACAAACTCTACCAAATCTAAAAATAATACACTGTACTACAATATTACGGTAAACAGTCAACGATTGAAGGTGTGCAAGGTTTTTTTGAAACACACTTGCATATCTAGTTTAGTGTAGTAGTGAATATGTTTAACAAATTGAGCCAGGAAGTTTAACAAAAGCTGATCACACACGCCAATCAATAAAACTCCTACCGAAACCATAAATAGTATAGATCAACATATCAGTTCCTTCTCAAAGTAGGAGAGTCACTATTCCAGAGAAAGGAGCAAGAAAAATTATTTGGGCACAGAACTTACAATAAACAGATGTATTAGGTAACTGTCCATTGATGAATGCAATGAAATACAAGTGAATCCAAAGCTAAGAGCAAAAAAGTGGTTATATGCAGATATTTTTATTAAACACTTCAAGTTGTTGTTTAAATCATCCGAAATATACCGACACTTGCGATATATGCAGTACGTTCACCTCTCAATTGAAAATAATCTTAATACAGGTGAACTAACCAGTGTATAGGCTGATCATGATGCTAACCTAATTGAATCTAAAACTCGGTATGACTTAAAACAATTGGACGATGAAGAGTTTCGAACATGATTTATTGCTGGAACAATCTGGAATGATGTAATGATATAAATACCAGGTAATTTTGGAGCAGGCAGGCATTAAGTTACAGGAAGTCATTAAGTTACAGTCAATTATTCAGTTACAGTCAATTATTAAGTGAGTTATTTACAAGAATTCAAGAATAAAGTTACATTAAGTCAGTCAGAGATTAAGTTACAGGAAGTCATTAAGTTACAGTCAATTATTAAGTGAGTTATTTAGAAGAATTCAAGAATTAAGTTACATTAAGTCAGTCAGAAATTAAGTTACAGTTACTAAGTCAGTTACAGTCAATTATTAAGATAGTAGAAGGTATTAATTAAGTAAGAAGAAGTCAGTCAGTCAGTTACAATTGATTAAGTGAGAAGAATTCTTGAAGTGATTAAGTTAAATTAAGTTTGAAAAAAGGATTAAGTGAGATGAAGTCAGTCAGTCAGTCAGTTACAATTAAGTTATTAAATTAGATTTATCAAGAAAGTTAGTTCAAGACAGTTATAATTAATTTAAATTAGAAGGAAGGATTAACTTAGAAGAATTCATTAAGTCAGATACAGTTGGAGAGTATGAGAGTAAATTAATTCAATAGTTCAATACAGGAGTATAGTATATTATATGGAAATTTTACAAGAATTTTAAATTATAATATCTATATGCAATTTCACAAATACAAGGATAACCGAGGCTGATTAAGAAGATATTTAGTGGTGATTATAACTTTGATTTTGGAAAACTTTAGGCATTCAGTTATGGAAAGGTACCAAATTTTATAAATATAATTTAATAATTGTAAGAATTTCAAATTTTAGATAGGTTGTTTTAAATTTATATTATTTATATTAGATATATATTTCTGTTTCATAATAGTTATAATAAAGATAATTTAAAAAAGTACTTACAATCTAATTCTTTGAGAACCGCGATAAAAACCCTATACTCATATATTTTATTTTAAACATTCATTGCTCATATACAAACAAAACATCATAACAATTTATATATATATATATATATATATATATATATATATATATATATGTGTGTGTACTTTTTTTTCATTCATAAATAAAATGCAACAGCGCCTATGACTTCGTAACTTTTGATAAAATAATAGGTACTCATTAAAGATAATGATCTTGCTTGATGGTTACCGGGACAAATTTCCGTATTAGCCTTGTAAGTATAACAAAGATTTGTAGATCACTCCAATTTATACTGATCCAATTCAATCTCTAAATGTGTAATTTTTCTATCCAAGGAGAGTGCCACTTACTAAATTCTGCATTTTTATCAAAAACTAAAGTGTCTGTGTGAGATAAGATTCTTTGTATAAATATTTAAGAGGTTTAAATGCCATTGTTACGAGTGTTTGATATATTAAATTAGCGAAGTGTTGATACCAATTATCGAGTCACGATATAATTTTTAAGCTAATAACGTTCGTACTTTTTCATTGATGCAGTCATCCACGAGTCCCGAAATCTCAAAGTTACTTGGTTATATTATTTGTAGAAATAATTTCTTGGTGAGTATATATTTTTTATTTCTAGGTTATTATATTTCAAATTTTTTCAAACCATTTAAATTTATTTTTATTGATATAAATAATTTGCAGTAATATTCAAATTCAAAAACAAACGACTGCGAAGATAGGAAGAGATGGTGTTTAGGTATCGGACAACGTCGAAAGACGTTCTAAACCGATGTATATATATATATATATATATATATATATATATATATATATATATATATATATATATAATATTCAAATACACTAAATGTGTCTGAAGATTTAAGGATAAAACAATGATTGATTCATTTTATGAGAACTTGGTTTCAAGAACATCATCATCATCATTTTCTCTGCTTTTATCCCTATGCGGAGTTGGCTTCCCTAAATACATTTCTCTATATGTATATATTGTAGTTAACAGCAATGCCAATCGTCTTTATCGACATGTCTTGCCTAAGCATCTTACCAGGTCTTGTTTGGTATTATCTTTCTTGCAAATCAGAAATTCTTCGTATTAGGTTTCATCTTAACCTATGCTTTCTCATTTTGGAATCTATTGGTGCCACCTCTAGACTTTCTTTATTCTAATAATTCTTAATTTTATCCTATTTTGTCATTCCTTGAATACATCTAAGTATTCATCACATCATAGCTGGTCTTATGGCAGTTTTACAGAATTTTCCTTTTTAGCTTCATTGGAATTTGTGAATAAAATAAAAATCATCGCATTGTAGCCATCACTGTTTAATGCATACTTAGAGGAAATATTCAAAAAAGCATTAGAAGATAAAATAACCAAAGAAAAATATATGCTGATAATACAACACTAATACCAGAAAATATTACAGATCTACAAAGAATTAAAGTTAAGGTTGTTGCAGCGAGTGAAGAATTTGGTCTCTTACTTAACATAAAGAAAACAAAATTCATGGTTATAGAACAATATTAGATACATAAATCTACACGTAAATAATGAGACGACAGAACGAGTTCAGAATTATAACTATTTGGGGGCGAACATTAATGAAACAAACGATTATACCAAAGTGCATTCAATAATATGAAACAAATATTATGTTGTAGAGACCTCAGCCTTTAAATAGCTAAGCATAACAGACTTTATATAGACAATGTCTCAATAAATTGGAAGCATTTGAAATGTGAACACATCAAAGAATGCTGAGAATCTCCTGGACAGACAGAATAACCAATTAAGAAGTACTAATAAGAATAGAGAACAGCAGAAAGATACTGGATTCCATCAAAATAAGAAAACTACAATATCTGGATCCAATAATACGTGGTGATAGATATGAATTCCCAAAACTAATAATTCAGAGAAATATTCACGGAAAGCGCAGCATAGGTAGAAGAAGAATATCCTGGCTGGGAAACCTCAAAGAATGGTTTGGATGCAGCTCAACTGAACTCTTTCGGGCTGTAGTGTCAAAAGTTAGAATAGCAGCGATGATTGCCAACTTTCGTCGCTGAGATGGCACCTAAAGAAGAAAAAGAAGAAGTAATAAATAAATAAAGTCCTAGTAATGACACTGTCTAGCTATGGAGACGTTGAAAACAAGTAAGAGATTAAGTACAAAGAGCAAATAGATTAGAAGGATGCCTTAATAATACTATATGGCGTAACAGAAACATAATACTAGTATATGGAAATGAATCAATACTCAGAGTCTTAGTCTTTATTTTTTATTGATGGTAAATTTTGGGCGACCGGTTTCAAGGCTTATAATTTATGCCCATCATTAGGCCCTACGTTACTATGAATAAACTATGAACAACTCAATCTAATAACACGATAATAACTAATAACAACATAAGCAAACAACTATAACATTAAGAGTGAGATTGACAAAATATATTATATTGAGACATTAGTGCCATTGGGTGTAACCAATCTGATGGAAACTGCACAATATATTCAGTCAATAATTAATACACTACATAGAGTTTTGTAGCATTTGTAATTTCATTGATTCTTTGGTGTATATTGAAATCCCCTCGTATATGTAATACATTAAAATCCCCTCATAAATGTTTGAAAAATCGCAGAATATTTTTTTATTCTATTTTAGTTTCCTATTTGTATGTATTAAAACACCGAATTCTTTCAATTTAAAACCCAAATAATATTTCGTTCTTTTCAGCGTCGCCAAGTAATAAAATCATTTTAGAGTTGTTAATTATTTTAAAGATGTGTACTTCGGCAATTTCTTTTAATGTTTTATTCGTTGCCTTATAATTTTTGTACGTCGTAGAAATGGAATCTTTTACGTTTTAATATTCGTTGTGTTTTGTTATTTCAGCGTTTGTTTATTGTCAAGTTACGTGAACGAATTCTTAAGAGAATTTCGTCATTCTTATTTGGGTCGTCATCGTCTCAGGTATGGATCTAAATTCTTACTGGGGTCGCGGTAAGCTCAGGTGTGGATCAATTCTTACTTAGGTCGCTGTAGGCTCAGTATGAATCCAAATTTACCGTCGAACTTGTAGTTTTTTGTTTTTGGCCCCTTTTTGTGGATATCTATAGCAGTGGAAAATAAATTGTGTAGTATACCTGAACATGGTAGACTTTTGAAGCAGTGTATAGGATGTCCCACCAGCTTTGTTGTCGTTTGCCTGCTTGATCCAACCCCTTCTACGTCAGATCTTCGTTCCTGAGTATGGAAATGGTTTTCTTTTGTTCCAGTTGAGAGTTTCGTCCTTGCAGCTCCAATCCCAGAGATAGTAGAAAGTTTTTTAAAGTTAAGTGGCAAAGTTTGTGAATTAAAAGGTAACATGATGTGTTCATAGTAAAATAGCTTTTATTTTAAATAACAATAATTGCTTTCATTGAAATTTAATGGATTTATATTAATTAATAAATTATAGAATTTAGAGTTTGACTTTAGCTGTCAATTTGTGGGTTCAGTTTTTTTAAATTTATTGTTAACTTATGACAGCACGTTTTATTATTTTTGATTTTAGTTTATTTTATTTTTAAAGAAGGTTAATATATGCCATTTTGAAAGATTTTGTAGCATTCTTCTTTGTAAACAGATGAACATATAAGTTTTTTCTTTGTATTTGCGTATTTTACAACTATTTATATACTTTATTTTTGTGTCATCTGTATTTGTGTAACTGTTTGTGGTAAGACATAATAAATGTTAAATTTTGTTTTCTTAACATTTTGTTTATTTTTTTAACGAACCCTTTTTTTGAGTTTTATTTGAAAAAGATATGTTTTTGATGTTTTATAATTATTGGGCACCCCAAGTGGCGCCCTATATTAAATTACTAGAGGTGTTTCCTGTTTCTTTTTGCTTTGTTTATCCCAAGAGATTAGGTTAGTACCCCTTTTGTTTCTTTTTTTTTGTAGTTGCCCCAATCCAACCCCCTTATCTTTTACTTATCCACGACCCCAGCTCTCCTAACAAACCCTGAGTGCCGTTCGCACAAGTAGCGATGATTTTGCTTGCCTTATCTCCACCCCCTTAGTTTAAGTCCCCAATTTTCTACCCCTTGTATTAATACCCCATGTGGTAGGCAAAATATTTCGTTACAGTTTGTTGGAGTTTTTTCGTATTTAGGGGTCCCTAAACAAGTATATACGAAACAATAAAGCTCCTTTAACGTTGTAGTTCCTTTCTAAAGTACCTAATCAATAACATACTATACGCAGTCACTTTGCAGTACAGACTCTTATGAGGTCTCTGAAATAGTCTTACAAGACATATATTTTAAACAATTGATATTTTTTATTTCGAAAAAGTAATCATCAGCGTTCGTTGGGGTAATATCTTTTGTTTTTCGTTTAGCTTATCAGCAGTACTTGAAAATTTTAAACACCTGTTTAATTTAAGTTTAAAATCGATTCAATAGTAAATTGTTAGAATGTAAAATTTGTACCGGTACCTACGAAAAATAATTCATTGTGGACATAATTATAGAAAATAAGGTAGAATTGTAAATCTGTATGTATGAATATAATTACGAACACATCTACGTTGTACATCTTAAGAATACCGTTAATTCAGCGACCACAAGCAGTAGGGACTTTTAATCCTATATTCAAACGACGAATAAATGCGCCCCAGTATAATTTTACAGTAGTGACCACCCACTTACTACTAAGGCTATGTCCGATATATACTCATGATTCTTGAATGTAAACTATGTTGTAATTTTCTTCACGGCACTTGCGAATTTGACGAAGATATTGATGGCGCCAGGATATAGTCTCAAGTTTTTCTATTAAGATTGACTTCCTACCTTTTTGCAAACACAAATCTCATTCTTTGTATTTAAGTTTTATCTTCTACTTCATTCTAACCACTCTCTCAAGTTCTTATATCCTTTATAATCAAATCCCATATCCTTCATCAATAGACACAGCCTTGTTTTTGAAAAATGGAATAAATCCTAATGCTTATTTACTGTAGCTACAACGGTAGACAGCGTAGAGGGTATGTTTTTTTAAGAAAAATCCGTGGCTATTTCGAATAGCCAAAGAAATTTCTTATACCTTATATTTTTCTTTCGTAGTTGCCTGTTTCTTCAGAGATCTGTTTGATTACCGTTGAAAGTGTGTGGTTTCCTTGGTTTATTCGATAATTCACGAGGTTCATTAACATCTGTTTTTCTCCAACGTATAATGTCTTTCTCTGCAAATGTTTCACAATATTCTCCATGACAAAAGAACAAAAAGAACACAATGACAACTGTTAAATAATAATTTAAACGCACACACTAATAAATAAGGAATCCCCCTCTGTGGGGGAGCAGCAAAAGAGTGCTCTGATTATCGAACACTGAGCCTCATGAGTCATACTTTAAAAGTACTCCAGAGAAGTACATAGGTAATAAGAACTTAAGTAATACATAAGAGAATATACTCTTATTGGGTATAAGAATGGAATGGGTACTCGAGAAAGACTATTTGCCATCAACATATTGATTCAGCGATGACGGGATGTAAACGTTGATATACACTTGTGCTTTGTTGACTACGG